TATGAAATGGCAAGCAGTCAAATATTGCAAAGAGATCAAGTATAGTAAGAGCCACGTGTTTATTAGATTTTAAAATTAAGAGGGTATTGGTGACCTTCATGAAGATCATTTTAATGGAGCATTGACGTAAAATTCAGGTCACTGTAGGAGAAGAGTCTTACAATTTTATGGATGAAAAACAGACTGAAGGTGTGAAATCTTGACCAAGGTCATTAGTAAATGTTGGCTCTTGGCTTTGAAATCTTGCCTATCCAATGCTACCACACAGGCCCCTCCAACATTCCAAACTGAATCTGAAAAGTGCACTTAGCTAAGGTGCTGATTGATGGTGGTGATGTTAAAGCAAGATAAAAGAGAAGGCTTATAGAAAAGATCCATATTTGTTTTCAGAGAGAATGGTGTAGAGAAGTTACTAATTTTCTAAAACATTTTCTGAGTGAATATTTCTCACACATCCCCCAACCCCCATTTCTTCCCTCTTCACTCTCTGTTTCTTAAACTGATTCTATTCATTTTATTGGCAATTAGGAGTTAAATTTTATAAAATGAATGGTGTGTTAATGTTACTTTTTTTTTTTTTTAAGTAGGGTAATTTTGGTTTTAGAACACAGGGTATATCAATCTCCTAAAATAATGTTTAAGTAAGATGACTGATAGAACTTTTTCTCTCTAAAGTCTTATAATAAAACTTAATTAGTAAGATCAAAGGCTACAAAAGTTTAATAGCCACTTCACATTTACCAGATGCCTTGTTAGTAATTCAGTTTTAAAGTAGAAATCCTAAACCAGCCACAAATAGAGCCAAATGTTTTTAAGAGATTTAACTTACGATTTAAAAAAAATAAATATAATGAATAATCCTAAATGCTGTCCCAGAGCACTATTTCAAAATAAATACATTAGCAAAATAAACAAGACATGAATCAACCTGAAGAATCTCCTACTCTTCAGACTGCAGATCTTGTGAAGGAAATCACACCTTTCTTTATTTTTCTTTTCTTTTCTTTTCTTTTCTTTTCTTTTCTTTTCTTTTCTTTTCTTTTCTTTCTTTTCTTTCTTTTTTTTTCTTTTCTTTCCTTTTCTTTTCTTTCCTTTTCTTCCCTTCCCTTCCCTTCCCTTCCCTTCCCTTCCCTTCCCTTCCCTTCCTTTTCTCTCCCCCTCTCTCTCTCTCTCTCTCTCTCTCTCTCTCTCTCTCTTTTGTTAATCCTCACATTTTTCCCATTTATTTTTAGAAAGAGGCAGACACAGAGAGAGAAACATTGATGTGAGAGAGACACATTGATTGGTTGCCTCCTGCACATGCTGGGGATTGAGCCTGCAATGGAGGTATGTGCCCTGGGCCAGAATCAAACCTGTGACCCTTCAGTCCATGGGCCTATGCTTTAACCACTGAGCAACTGGCCAGGGCTCTTTTATTTAATATAAAAAATTTGTCTGAAATAAAAGAAAATAATTGGCATCATTTGAATCTATTATGCATTAAATTTGCTATTTTTCTACATGTACTGATTTTAACGTGTACTGATTCCCTAATCTGGAATGCCTGCTAAAATATCTTCATTAAGATGTGTTATATTTACTAGTAAAGAATCTTCCAGTTTGGAACTCAGAATACTTAATTTGGACTATGCACAAAGTCAAGAGTAAATGCAGTCAACATTTCAGCATTATTAAACATAAACTTGATACTGCCTTATATCAGTCACAGTTTTTGCTAGTATAATTCATTATTATTTATTCCCTTTGCATTTCTAGAGCAACTATTTCTATGAAATTTGTGCATTTGGATGAAGTGCCCAGTAGAAAAGAAGCATTTAAATTTTTTGAAGGCTGTGGTGTAGTGATGAGAAATTGAAAAGTAATCTGTTTTGATACAAAACAATTAAAAAAGGTTGTGTGCACACACGTTTGATGTATGTCCTGTTTTAAAGATGTTAAGCCCTGTCTGATTAACCATGTTTTCTTAAAACAGAGTGGCAGATGATAATCTTCTCTTAAAAATTAGTTAGTTGAGAGGAAACAATTTAAAAACAAAGGAGCACAACACTCCAACCTGAAAAATCTGTTTTTTTTTTTAAATAACTGCATATGTCTAAGTATAGATCTAAGTTGAAAAATATAGCTAGCATATATCAACTACACATGTTACACAGGAGGTAGGGAAATGGATGTGCTCCACATTTTAAGGTATACAATTTTGTAATGCATACTGCCATATGAGAAATGAAAACAAAGTTTATGAAAAATCAAAACTAAAATAAACTTATTTTTATTTTCAAACTCAGCTTCTTAGCAACTTTAAACCATTTTATAGTTATTCTCACCAAGAATTAAATTTGTCCTATTCTAACAATTAGTTTAGAAGCTCCCCAAATATTCTGCTTATGAAATTGAATATCTTACTTAAGAGCTGCTGATTTCAAAGAATATACCATGTTCATGGATTGGTAGAATCAACATCATTAAAATGTCCATATTACCCAAAGCAATCTATAGATTCAATGCAATCCCCATTAAAATACCAATGTCATATTTCAAAGACCTAGAACAAACTCTCAGAGAATTCATATGGAATAAAAAAGACCCTGAATAGCCATAGCAGTCTTAAGAGAAAAGAACAAAGTGGAAGGGACCACAATGCCAGATATCAATCTGTATTACAAAGCCACTGTTCTCAAAACTGCCTGGTACTGGCATGAGAACAGACATATAGACCAATGGAAACTACAGAGAACCCAGAAATTGACTTAAGACAGTTTCTTCAATAAATGGTGTAGGGAAAATTGGACATATGCAAAGAATGAAACTAGACCACCAAAGTACACCATTCACAAAAATAAATTCAAAATGGATAAAGAACTTAAATGTAAGATGAGAAACCACAAAAACCTTAGAAGAAGCCATAGGAAGAAAAATAGCAAACATATGTCATAGCAATATCTTTACTGATACAGCTCCCAGGACAATAGAAACTAAGGAGAAAATAAACAAATAGGACTACATCAAAATAAAAAGTTTCTGCACAGCAAAAGGAACCATCAACAATAACAAGAAAGCCCACTGCATGGGTGAACATATTTGCTAATGTTATCTCTGATAAGGGTTTAATCTCCCAAATTTATAGGGAACTCATATAACTTAACAAAAAGAAAATAAACAATCTAATTTAAAAAATTCAGACTTAATAGAATATGTCCTAAATAGAGGACATACAGAAGGCCAAGAGACATATGAAAACATGCTCAAAATCCCTAATCATATGAGAGATAAAAAAAAAATGACAATGAGATACCATTTCACACCCATCAGAATGGCTATCATCAACAAATCAACAAATGACAAGTGCTGGCAAGGATGTGGAGAAAAAGGAACCTTCTTGCACTGCTGGTGGGAAAACAGACTGGTGCAGCCACTGTGGAGAACAGTATGTAGTTTCCTCAAAAAATTGAAAATGAAACTTCCATTTGACCTAGTAATCCCATTTCTAGGAATATATCCCAAGAAAACAGACACACCAATCGTAAACGATATGTGCACCCTATGTTCATAGCAGCACAATTTACCATAGCTAAGCTTTGGAAATAGTTTAAGAGCCCAACACCAGATAAGTGGATTAGAAAACTGTGGTACATCTATAATGGAATACTACACTGCTATAAAAAAGAAGGAATTTTACCATTTGCAACAGCATGGATGGAACTGGAGAGCATTATGTTAAGAGAAATAAGTCAGTCGGAGAAAGATAAATATCACATGATCTCATTCATGTGTGGAATATAATGAATATAATTAACAAAAACAGAACCAAAGTCACAGAAGCATTGAACAGATGGTACAACCTATGAGGAAAGGCAGGGTAGGGGTGGTGAAGGGGTAAGAAATCAACCAAAGGATTTGTATGCATGCAAATGAGCGTAACCAATGGACACAGACAGTAGAGGGATGAGGACATGTGCTGGGGGGGGGGGGGTGAGAGGTCAATGGGGGAAAGAGAATACTCATGTAATACTTTAAACAATAAAGAATTTAAATAAAAAAAAGAGCTGTCCATTTCTATGAATATTTTTCAGGATCTATTATATGTTGGAAAGATAGGATTGCAACTTTTGAATATCAGCTCTCAAGACTAACATATTTTAAGAGATAACGAAAATAGAAATATTTTATGTTGATTTTGTTATATATTTCTGAAATTTTGAAGCAATAATCATGTTATTTATGCATGCAGATAAAACAATAAGGCTATAAAACTTTGGATCTTAAAATCAGAATAGTTGTCTTTTGTAGTATTAGTTATATATAATAAAGGCAAATGAAAAAAGTAATTGCTAATTTTTTATTTTATATTTTTATTGATTTGGAGAGGAAAAGAGAGAGGGGAAGGAGAGAGAGAGAGAGAGAGAGAGAGAGAGAGAGAGAGAGAGAGAGAGGAAGAGAGAGAGAGAGAATATTAATGATGAGAAAGAATCATCAATCAGCTGCCACCTGCAGGTCCTTATTGGCAATCGAGCCTGCAACCCCGGCATATGCCCCTGCCCCAGATTTGAATCCAGTACCCTTCAGTCCTCAGGCTGACGCTCTATCCACTGAGCTAAACCAGCTAGGGCAGTAATCTTATGACACTATTTTTAATTCATTCATCAAACAGCTCTGAAGTAATTTACTGTGACAAGGTATTATAACTACTTTCCTGGATGCATAACAAAAGTTTAGCCACACAATTGTTTCTATAACTTAAGGACTAATTCTTACTGTCACTGAAGTAAAGCTGCTTGGTGTGCATACTGAGTAAAAGGAAAAAACAAAGCAAACAAAACAAACAAAAAAGCACACACACACACACACACACAAAAAATGCCTGCCAGTGAATTACAAAAACTATTGTTTAAGTGGAACCAAAGGTTGTTGGTGCCATTGGCCACAACTATCTGAAAAAAAAATCACACAAAACACCCAAATGTCAAGCTGACCTCTGAATGGTTACTGGGTGAATGCCAAGGTTCAATGGTTTGTTCTGGATGAACATCAAGACTTGGGGACGCTAGCCCAACACTTTGGTTAGAGCTTTTTCTTCCATTAGAGTAGTTTAGAAAAGTGTTTCAAGTGTGACTTGCTCTGAACCTTCATGGTTCTATTTTTATCATTATATTAAACAAATGAAAGCACTCCATATTCCCTTTCCTTACATTCATATGGGGCTACAGCTGCATGGCCTTCTGTAGTTAGGAATCATTGTTGATAGCACGACTATGAATATTGTAAATTCAGAACTTGAGAGACAGAAAATAAAATCATTATGGGCTGTGATGCTCTCTGAATAAGACAGATACTGGTGGTATAAATGATAGTAATTGGGCTATCTATGGAGGTGGGTGGGAACAAGGTCCAAGGGACCTCTCTGAGGAGATGACAAGTAAATTGTGGTCTGAAGGATGAAGAATTGTACAAAGAAGCAGGGAGAGAGTCTGTAGGTAGAAAGAAGTGAAAGGTAGATGTCTGAGGAGAAAGGAGCTTGTTGATTAGGAACAGAAGAGAGGGTAACTCACATTTCCCTGGAAAGAACTTTTCTTATTTAGATTAGTCCATAGCCAATGGAGAGTACCCTGCTATCAAGCAGATAGCTTTGGTCCTGCTACACTAACCAACCGTCCTCAGTGTTAGCCCCCATAAACAGCTAGATTCATTTCTCACTCACTCTGTATGTCCATCGGAGGCTGGCCAGGGGCTCTGCTCTGCCTCCTCATCCACGGCAGGACTCATGCTGACGAGCAGTCTCTGCCTGGAACCCTGAGGTCACGGTGACAGAGTAGAGAGGGGAAACATAGCACGTCAAGTTCGGGCTCTTAAACCAGCCACACACATCACTTCCACTCCCATTCCACCGGCCAATGCAGTGACTAATCTTGTCAGCCAGGAAGTAGACTCTCCCCTGTGCCCGGAAGAGGAGAGAAACCGTAACTGGTGGTGAGCAGCGGGCGTATCTCCCATGGGGGTCAGTGAACAAGAACATCCTGAAATTGCATGCATAATGTGTGTGTGTGTGTGTGTGTGTGTACGTAGACACCTTTTCCTTGTCTCCAGGGAAAAGGTCTATTGCTATAATCAGATTCTCAGAGGGATCGCTGACACAACAATGATTAAAAACCACTGGACCAGTTGAAAACTGTCATGTAAACAGATAATTGCTCTACAAGACAATTTGCAGCATGAGTGAGAGGCTGAAACAATTAAGGAATTATGCATGCGTGCATATGTGTGCGCAGGTGCGTGCCTGGCGATAAGAGAAACGTTGAGCAAATCTGCAGGCTAGAGGGTAGAAGCCAGAGGACAGAGCGTGATGGATTAAAGAACAGAGGTCTGAGGACAAGTGACTGATGTAATGAGGTCCAGAAGAAGCCTGAGGAGATGGAGTTCAATATTCTCTGGAAGTAGCAACTTCAGGGGCTAGAAGAGATACCTCGCTTCTTGTGGGAGGAAGGAAGGAGAAGGCGGGTGGCCCTCTGGGTCAAGCTGCAGGTGGAGGGGAAGGAGAGGACCTCTATGTTGTCTGTGACGTACGGACAAGGACAGTTACGTAGGAGGGGATCATGGGCATGTTGATAGTTTGGAACAGCTGTAAGGGAAATCGGACACAGAGCTGACTGGGGACAAACAGAAAGACTGCCAGTAGCCCGGAGGGTCCAGCTGATGTCGGAGAACATAGACTTGACGCAATGCCAGTGAACAGAGTGAGGGGATTTTTCCTAATTTGTGCTCAGCTGTCTGGAAGTAGAGCTGAGAACGTTACTGTTGAGCTGATCCAAGGCTAGGGATTAGCAGAACAGGTGCAGCAGCATGCTTTGCTGATAATATAAAGTTCAGGAATCTCTGGGCAGGGAAAAAGACCGAATTTTGCCTTTTAATTTTAACAGAAATAATGAGAAGCAAAACTTACCCCTATAGTTCTCCTTTCTGAGTTGCAGTTCTTGCTCCCTGTACAACTTGTTTTTGTTTTGAATTTATAATGAATAGGTCTAATAATATAACCAATATAGTTAGGAGTAAATAGCTAGCTTATTTCTTTTCTTATTGTTTAGGTAAAACCAATCATGTCAACCCACCTAAGAGTGTTCCTAATACTCTCTTACTCCACTAGTGAAATCTGACAGAAAAAAGGTAAAAGGAAAAACATGAAAGCTCTAAAAAAAGATAATTACATATTCAGAGGCATAAATATAGAATTGCTTAGCTAGGCATCTTGCTATTAATTAGCATGCCATCAATTTTGCTTCCTTGAGTGATTAAGTAAGACATTGTATTTAGAGAAACCATTAAAGGAAGACAAAGGAAAAACATCTGTAATAGTTTAACTCAGTGCAGACTGCAGTCTGAAATGGCATTGTGTTACTTCTCTCTTTTCCCAGTTGCCTGCCAAGTCCCTGTGTTTTCCTGATCTCGATGCGGTTACATCACAAGCATTTGGTGAAAATGGTGTTGCTGTTCGTCAAAGCTGCATCTGCATATGGCAGGCAGACACAGCCGCAATAAAAATAATTCTGGTTTCCTGAACCACTTTGCTTGAAATCTGTCATTTTATTTTCCATTTCCTCCGAATGGAGGTTTCTTCTCTTAAGTGTCTATTGAGGACTGGCAGGTGAGGTAGCAAGCCACGTCTATCATTTAGAATTATGTTTGAAGCTGAGATTAAATATGACTTTTCCCATCCTTCCTCAATAGAAAGAAGTTAGCAGGAGGGCACGCGAGTTAAACAGAGATTGTTGCTGCAAATGGCTCTTTCCCAGAAGGCCCTCTCTTGGAATTTCAGTTGTTGATAACTAGCAGGTTTCATCTCTAGGAACTCAGATAAGTTCCTTTGCGCTTCTGGCCTGCCAGCTTGTAGACGGTCTCCAGCTGAGGCAGTGCCACCAGAATGGATAGTAGGAGAATGTATGCGGCTCTCTATTTATCCAAAAGTATGATAATTTGAGGGAAAATTAAAATCGTCAGTTTTTCATTACACCCTACTGCTCTCAGTGCTGGTTATCTAATCATACCGCACAAACATACTTCTGCATAAAATTCTGTAAACGGAGGGAAAAGCCAAGAAAAGAGGGGAATTGATGTCTTGCCAAGGACCACACTGTATGTTTAGGGCAGGACTGGGCACCTGAGTCCCCTGACTGATCCGGCTGGAGTCTGCCTGCTCTAGCCCAGGACAGCAAGCTTGTGGATGCTGAGATTATGAAGTTATGCTAGAGGCAAGGACAATAGATTTTATTTATCTTTAATTTTTAAAACACACATTTTTATTGATTTCAGAGAGGAAAGGAGAAAGAGAGAGAAACATCAATGATGAGAGAGAATCATTGATCGGCTGCCTCCTGCACGCTCCACTCTGGGGATTGAGCTGCCACCCAGGCATGTGCCCTGACCGGGAATCAGACTGTGACCTCCTGGTTCACAGGTCGATGCTCAATGACTGAGCCACGCTGGCCAGCAGGACAATATATTTTAAATATACAAACATTGACTTGCACGAACCTGTTCCAGAAGCCGAAGGACTGTGGCGCTTTGAGGACAGTTCATCTTTTTGCAATCTAGGCTTCAGCTCAATGCCTGGCATATCAATAGATACCTAGTCAATGGTGAGTAAATTCTGTCGAATAAATACAGAGCCTTTAAACATGTAAATCAAATACACCATTCTCTGCTTAAAATGCTGCAGCAGCTTCTCATTTCTCTCAGAGTAAAACTCCAAGCCACAAACTAGGCAATCTGGTCTTCGCTACCTCTCAGATGGCATTTCCTCTTCCCTTCTTCCCCTCCTTTGGCTCCTTCTCCACAGGAGGTAGCTCCCTTTGCACTGGCTGTTCTCTGTGCCTAGACTCTGACTCTACATGCATAAAAAGCTACCTCCCTTATTTCCTTCAAGACTGCCCAATGGCCCAGTGATCCCACTTCTAGGAATATATCCTAAGAGACCTGAAACACTCATCAGAAAGAATATATGCACCCCTATGTTCATAGCAGCACAATTTACAATAGCTAAGATTTGGAAATAGCCTAAGTGCCCATCAGCAGATGAGTGGATAAAACAACTATGATACATTTACACAATGGAATACTACATGGCAATAAAAAAAACAAACACAAAAAACAAAACAAAAAAACAACTCTTAACATTGCAACAGCATGGATGGACCTCGAGAGTATTATGCTGAGAGAAATGAGCTAGCCAGAGAAAGATTAGTATCACATGATTTCACTCATATGTGGAATCTGATGAACAGCATAAATTGGTGATCAAAAATAGACCCAGAGACATAGAAGCATGAACAGACTGTTGAACCTCAGAGGGAAGGCAAGGGAAGGTGGGTGGGAAGAGATCAACCAATAAACTTGTATGCAAATATTATAACCCACGGACACAGACAATGGGATGGTGAGGGCCTGGGGGGAGGGATTGAAAGAGGTTAATGAGGAAAAAAGGAGGACCTATGTAATATTTTCATCAAGAAAGATTAACAAAAAAAGACTTTGACCAAATGTCACTTTTTATTAAAAGGCATATTCCCACTGCCCCTTTAAAAATTGCAGCCCTTTTTCAGCTCCCTGCCCACACTCCTGATCTTCCTCAGCCTGCTCTATTTCTTTCATAACACTATCATGTCCTAACTTTAATTTGCTATATTGTTTACTTAACTGTTAAGTGGATGTTTTGTTGTCTGTCTTCTTTTTGTTAGGATGTTAGCCTATGAGGGTGAGGATTTTTGTCTTTTTATTGTTCACTGGTATCCCTGGTGTTTCAACACCCAGAGGGTGCTTTTTAAATAATTGTTGAATGAATAAATTAATAAAACTGGATTAGGGAAGCAAATGAGTGGGGAAGTGCAAAGGATCGGGTTTAAGACAAGTATAAAGGTGAATGAACCATAATTCCTGGTAAATTTATAGAGAGGTAAACATTCATTTTCCTATTACTAGTAAAAAAGTTCTTGCAAATTGAGATAAACCTGGCCAACTTTTAGAGTC